CTCATGCTCATTGGCTACAATCAGATGAAGGAAAGCTACCTGATATCAACCTAAGCAAGTTGTGCTTCCTTTTTCTGGTTATTTGGCTATAACTTTTCATAGAATACAGTACAGATAATTGAACAAACTATGTTGCATTACATTCTTGATTAAATTATCTTTCCATTGATATATAATTTTATGGTACTACTCCAAAAAAAAGTGGTGTTATTAGCCATCAAACCTCAAAAATATACTTTTCCCAAAAGATTTCCACAATTTTGGCCACTACTGTAGGATCCCTGTGGTAGAGTCTGCTGCTATGAGTAAGATGGTGGTGTACTTTATGACAGAGTTTGATTCATGCAACTGCATGGAAGATCTCACACAGCATATGAGAAGGCTCTTGGTTTAATTAGGACACCTGCAAGCAAGCACATCTGGCTTCTTGAGTTTCTTTCTAGGCTGAAGATGCACATAGATCACAGAACAGGTCAACTACAAATGCTGAAGGAAAGAAGAAAGGATCATCAGAAGAAGGTGGAATGTGTGATGGAAGACCCCACCCAGAAGAATTGAGAAGGAAGACTTGAAGAGCAGGCTGACTGGTGAAAGGACTGGACAACGAAGAAAAGAAGCTATGTTGGAAGGACAGTTCAGGAGATGAGTAATGGGACAAAGTATAAAGAAGCATGACCAAGAAGCCTCAGAAAAGAGTTATTTTTTTCCCTTTTTCCCCCCTCCTCTTTAACTTGGAAAAAATCGGGAGCAGAAAAGCAAAAACAAAGCAAAGAGAAGGACTTAACAAAGCCCAGGGATTAATTTTAGAAACTGCAGTGAAAAAGAGGGGGATGGAAACAATTAAAAATTGCAATGAACACCCTGTAAGTAAATGTATATTAGATTGCAATTAAGACGTAAAATAAAGATCTGTTTGTATGGTTGCTAGGAGTCAACAATAATTTGATGATATACAATCAATCAATCAATCACCCAATCATAATAGAAAGAAGGTCACTGTCTATTGGAAGGATAAGCACACACCAATGTCTTTGTCAAATCACTTTAGTTGGGAGAAATGTGTGTGTGTGTGTGTGGTGTGAATGAGCTCCTGCCTTTTTCCCCACCCTCTGAACATACAAAAGGGAGAATATTCTTAGGGTGAAGGACTTCGCTATCAAAAGGGTTGGAAAGGCTGTCAAATCCACCGCGAAATGGGAGCTGGGGAGGGGAGAAAAAGAAAGAGGAAGGAAGGAAGGAAGGAAGGAAGGAAGGAAGGAAGGAAGGAAGGAAGGAAGGAAGGAAGGAAGGAAGGA